CAAAGAGTGTCAAATTTATTCTCTGAAGGCATGATAGAAAATACAGTTGAAGAAAATTTAGAAGAATACTTTGGCCAAGAAGTACAATAAATAATTGAACAATTGGAAGGATTTTACTTAACTGATTGGCAGAATGAATTGGCAAGAATAATAAAAATTCAAATGAAAGAATTAGAAAGGGTATGATTTTCACATTGAATGCAAATAAAAAGAAATGATTTCACTTTATTTTGCAAGATGATGATAAGCAAAATGTTTAAAAAATAAACTGATATTATTCCAGAATTCCATAAACCAGGATATTTAGTGAAGGAAATTAAAAAGGAAAATCTGACTTGAACAAAAAATAAAGAAAAAGAAAACAAAACTTCAGAAGATTTAAGTCACTTGGGAACTTCCGGTTGACGTCTGGGTGGGAACGGCTGGAAAATAGTGGAGCTCCACCGGGTTCCATGAAATGCAGCCTGCAACTGCTTGCTGGGAGACCCTATGGGGTGAACCCGCCTGGAGGGGTGGTGAAAAAAGGAGAGGTGCTTCATTGATCATGAGGAAATAGCAATTTCCTTGTTGATCCGAAGAAAGCTCTCTCGAACGGCAGCAGGAACGATGGCCATTTTGGTCTGTCACAAGCTGGGACAACCAGGACACTAAGATCTTGTGCTGGAGCAGTAAGTGGACAGAGCAGTGAAACTGGGTGAGATAACTTCCAACTTCTACCCCAAAGATTTAACCCAAGTTAAAAATTACAAAAACCAATCTCCAAATAATAAGAAAGCGGCAATTGGATTTATGGAGAAGGATTAAAGACTAAAAATCAAAGAGAAAGACTAAAGATTAAAGATTCAGATGCAAAAGAAATAATTAAAGGATGTTTTAAAACACAGAAAACCTGGAAAAAGCTGAATAACATCGTGAAAAGTGATTATTGGGAGAAATTGCTTTTCTAAACTCTATTTTTAACCCCCCCTGTTTTGACTTTTACATTCAGTTGAATGCCGGAATTGGGAGCAGGGGAGCCATCTATTAGAGGAAGAAGATTACTGCAACATAGGAAATCTGAGTGAAAGTGATGAAAGAAGAAAAAGCAAACAACAGCTGGAAGGCTATTTGACCTTGACTTTATCTTATTAGACGATTTGGAGGCTTGGAAATATTTCCTGAGGTGTTTGAAGATTTTTTAAAGCAACTGAACTATAAATACCAAAACCTTATTGAACTGTTCATTGAAAGGTGAATTTGAAATATTTGAGGAAACCTGGTGGGCCAAACTGGATTTGATTTACTAACATCATTTGATATATCATGATAGAGGCAAAAGAAGAAAAGCGATAGAAAGGGAGGGGGGAGGAAAGGGGGAAAAAGGATATAAGAAGGAAAGACAAATAAGACTTTGAAATTTGGACAATTGGGAAGGTATAAACTGTAAACTATAAAGACTGTAAAGTATAAATTTATAGCATTTAAGGACTAGAAAGCTAGGGGACTTGGAGGAATAATTCGGGGATTGATAAATTTTATTAATAATTGACTTTTTTGGAGTTTTTAGATATTGGGATAGTGGAATATTAGAGATATATTGAGTAATTTTTAATTTATTAATTTGGTACAAAATGACTCAGCAGGAGACAATAAAGTTCTATGAAGAAATGTTAATGGTGGCTAAAAGCTTTTATGAAAGTGTGACAAAGAATCATAAGGAGATGATGGGATTGTCCAAAGAAAAAGAAGTAAGTGTAGAAGACCCTCAATAAATGGTGGGAAAAGATGAAAAAAATATTCAGAAGACAGATGAGAAATCAGAAGGTGTGGTGGAGGAGACAAATCAAAATAAGATAAAAGAAAACAAAAACAATGAAAAGACAATAACAATAAATATTAAGAATCCAATAGATAATTCCTTACAATAGCTTATAATAGCACAGAGAAAAAAAAGGAAGACTTCCCAAAAATAATGAAAGGGTTATGGATGGGCATCCAAATGATGCAGCAGAAGGAGATAAGGGGTAAGGCAGAGGGAATATTCAGTCTATGTAAAAATGTTAGAAAGAAATATAGGATTCCAAGAGAGAAATATAAGAGAATCACCAAAAAGTCAAGAAATGATGAAATTCAAAAAAGGCTGAGAGATGATGGATAGAGACATAATATCATGTAATACTGGGATGGTATTAAAACTAATAGAAACAAATAGAAAGTATAAATTGGGAAAATAGTAACACATATATAGATATATAATAGAATTTATTCTATCCACAAATATACTAAGGTTAGGAAGTGGAAGACTGTAATTAGGCATATTTAAATGTATTATTATGATTAACAATGTGCAAAAATAAATTGGAATTTATAGTTTTTAAGGATTACAAATTCAGGGGACTTAGAGATATTATCCCAGGACTGATTACATTTTATTAATAATTGGTTTTATTGGTGTTTATAGAAAACTGAGATATTGGAAATTTGGTGGAATTTGAGCAATATTTAAAATATTAAAATATTGGTGACCTAACAGGGGTCAATAAACACATTGTATGAAGAAATATAATTGATATCTAAATATATTTTTGGAGAAAGTGATAAAGAATCTTAAAGAGAGGATAGTACTGTTTAAAGATAAAGAGGTGAATATGGAAGAACCCAAAGTGGGAAAAAAATAAGTACAAATTGGGAAAATAGTATTATACATATTGATACATAATGAATATATTATAATTATAATGCACATATTAAGGTTAGAAGTTGGAAGATAAAAACTATGTATATGTAATTGTATTATTATGGTTAGCACTGTATAAAAAATGTATGGCCCAGTTGTTAAACTGTCCACAAAATATGTTGGTTGTTAAAGGAAAACTGCAAATAAAACATATACAAAAAAGAAGAAGAAGAAGATTTAAGTCACTTGAAGAATTTGAAATAGTGCAGCCTTAAAAAAATAAACCATAATCCTGTAGAGCAGTATAATATTGGTCTTGAGACCATTATGGAAGTTTCAGAAGTGAAGAAACGAATTATGGCAATAGCTCAGAAAAGTGAGCATTATAAAATAGAATTAAGCAGTTCAAGCAAAATGTTTTCTTTTAAACAATTTTTATTTATTTTTTAAAATCTTGATAGTGATTGGGCAAAAATTTGAAACAACTACAAGACCTGGATGAAGGAAAACTGTTTTGTTTAGAAAGCTTTCATGGGGAAATAAAGCAGAATATAATAATAAGGCAGAATGAAAAATAAAAAATGAAGAACATATTTGAAGGAAAACAAATGAAAGATGTCATTATACAACTGAATTCTTCAATTTCAAACTAAAAGAATAAAAATCCAGAGTGAACCCAGGGAAGGATAAATACAGTTTTGGGATTAAATACCTTGCAAACCTACATTCCTGATTAGCAACATAGCTAAATAAGCTTCTGTAAACTGTAAAGAATGAAGAATAGATGACAGTGAGAAGAATCTTTCTAATGTGAGAAAAACTAAAGTGAAAGGCACTAATCCTGACCACTACAGGTCTATCACTTGCTTATAAGAGATTTAAATTGCGCTTTATCTTTTTAGCAAAATGGAACTTTTAAAAATTCACAAGGCACGCAAGACCAGAGATTAATTGACAAGATGATTAATTAAAAACTTAAAAGAGAAGAATCTGGTTCAAATCCCTAGTGCCGCGTAACGGGGTGAGCTCCCATTACATGTCCCAGTTTCTGCCAATATAGCAGTTCGAAAGCACGTAAAAAATGCAAGTAGAAAAATAGGGACCACCTTTGGTGGGAAGGTAACAGCGTTCTGTGCGCCTTTGGCGTTTAGTCATGCTGGCCACATGACCCCCATGATGTCTTCGGACAGTGCTGGCTCTTCGGCTTTGAAACGGAGATGAGCACCTCCCCCTAGAGTCGGGAACGACTAGCACATATGTGCAAGGGGAACCTTTACCTTTACCTTTTAAAAGAGAAGAAGTTTTTTATTGCTTGGTTAGACTATGAAAAAGCACTTGGCTCACTTCCATGTACGTGGACTAGAAAATGCCTAGAGATTTTTGGGATTAGTAAAACATTAAAGTGTTGATGAATGCATGAAATAAATCTAGTAGCCGACAGTAATGTTTACTGGCAAAGTCAAAATTGAATAATTGATAACGTACCATTAACTCAGTGTCAATTCTTAGCAACCACATAGATGGACCCCAGCTTAGCCTTTCAAGATCTCCCTGTGGTACACACAGTCACTGAAATCAAGTCCATTCATCTTGCTGCTGGTTCTTCTTCTTTTCTTTTTATTTTCACCTTTCCCAGTATTGTGGTGGACATCTCAAGGAAATATGTTTTCACTTAATATGACCACTATTGTCATTTGTGACTCAAATGAAAACTCTGGATTGATTTGTTCCATGATCCTTTTCTTGGCTATCTGTTGCATAAGTCTTCTCCAACATCAATATTCTTTCTATCCTGCTTCTTCAAGTCCAATTTTTTGCTTTCCATAAAATGGGACAAAAAAGAAATCCTTGGCTTGTATAATTCTGACCTCTGTAGGTATTCATACGTTGTGGCATCTTAAATTTTTTTCCAAGGCCTTCAGACACTCACCTTTCAATCAGCATAATGGTTGAATAAAAAAGGAAAAAATATATAGCCTTGTCTCACTTCTTTGCCACCCTGAGGGCAGTCTGTTTCATTATGTTGCATCCAGACACAATTAGTTAAAATTAGGAGGATGTTCCCATCATTATCACATTCACCATTTGTTTTAGCAATAATGTCATCCTCACATTTAAGCAACTCTTAAACAAGATCCAAAAATAATTCATGAATGGATGACCTAAAGTTATTTGAAAATCAAAAGGAAAAAACTTGGATCTCTCCTGGAGACAGTCCATATATTTAGTGAGGATACAGGAATGCACTTTTGTCTATACAAAGGTGCAGCTTTGAAGATTGAAGGAGGCAAAATCGTTAAAGAAGATTGATTAGAAGCTAATGAATGCAAATGCCATGAAACAATTGACACCAGAAGAAGGTTTATTAAGGATTAATGGGAAGCTTCCGACTTACTACATGAGCAAGTTAAAAAGAATACCAATTCTGATTATATCAAACAAATTTTAAAAATTGAAAACAAAATTAAGCGTGGGGAATATAATTAAAGACATAAACACTTGGGCTGTTCCTGCTGTTCAATATAGTGTGGGTATAATTGATTGGGCTCAAGCTGAATTAGACATACTTGATAAAAAAGAAAACACCAAGAAAATTAATGACCATGCTTTTCACATAAGAGGTGAGATTGGTAGGTTCTACTTCGCCAGAAGTAAAGGTGGGAGAGAATTACTTCAAGTCGAGCATACAAGGGTAGAAGAGAAATATGGCCTGAATGATTATAATAAAAAAAGCACTACTGGTAGAAGTTTGTAAAACCTAATTAATGCCTAGAAATTTAAATCTCTTCATACGCAATATGATATTGAAAGAAAATAAAACCAAAATTTGACTTGGCAGTGGCTGAAATAGTTAAAAAGAAATTGAACAATAATCATGGCAGCTCAAAAACACAGTATGCAAGCAAACATTAATGCCAAAACTGAACATATTTCAAATGATAACAAATACTATGTAAGTTCAAAGAATACCTTATTAGTGGCTTAGCAAAACTAAGCCAAATTGAATATATAATCTATGGATAGAGTTGCAAAAATTTGGCACTGGAATTTATGTAAAACATTTGGTTTCATAAAAGCTGTGGGATCATAAACTTCAAAAAGCCTTAGAAAATGAAGACAGGATTGTGTGAAGTTAAAAATACAGACCAGTATATTCTTGAAAGGCAACACACTATTATTATTAAGAAGAAGAAATGTTCTATAAATGTAGCAATCCAAGGAGATAGTTGAACAAATTTGAAAAACAAATGGAAAAATATTATGATAAGCAAATTGCAGTGAATGACTTTGGAAGGAAAAAAAGTTCTCTAACACCAATGTAATTGCATTGTTGGAGCTATATTAAAGAATTCACCAAATATGTGAAAGTTTTAAATTTGTAAGACTTAATAGTATTGACTTTGCCAAAACAAACAAACAAACAAAAACCCTTGCTAGGAACTTTCTACATAGTATGACAATACTGCTATGATTTCTAGTCTCTTGGTAAAATCTAACCATTGGAAAGAACCCATTCTAATGATATTCATTGGATTAATAGAGGAGGAGAAGGAGGAGGAGGAGGAGGAGGATGATAACGACATACCCCAAAGGAATACAATATTCTATTGAAATTTAAAACTTGCTGGGCAGATAGGATACTTAAAAACTTTCTGTAAATTAGATTATGTTTCTACTTTTTTTCACTTTAGAACAAATGTCCCTAAAACAATGTGTATGATAGACTCACTGTTCCTCCTTGTTTATTGTCAGTTATGCAAATTTAGTGACTCATAAAGTAGTTTGGCTAATCTAAAGTTCCTTCCTTGATTCCATGCCATATATCCTTGATTGCATCACTAGATGGCTGTTGTGTGCTATTCTATTCTTTTAAAAGATCCTTCCTTCCTTCCTTCCTTCCTTCCTTCCTTCCTTCCTTCCTTCCTTCTTTCCTTCCTTCCTCCCTCCGTCCCTCCCTTCCTTCCTTTCCCAATAGTGTATTTTTTTTACCTGCTCTGCTGTTTCCCAACTGTAATAATCTCACAGCCAAATCAAAAGAACATATCCATTCACTAACCTTCAGTATCTTTGCTGTTAATTTAGATGTTTCCCATGCTCCTGTTTGTTTATTTAAAATTCTGTTATTTGATTTCTAAAGGTCATATATAGATGCATATTCTATTAAAATATTTTCAAAAATGTCACTAACTTGTGTTGGTTCACTCTGTAGTTACGATTTTTAGTACAAACTCATGTTAAGAGGGATCAGGTGCTTCTGTTTTGGGTTTACAGACACAGTGATTTATACAATGCTTTGTGAGCTAATGGATCACTTTTGTAATTATGGAGGAGATACAGTAAACTGCTATGTGTAGGGGCAGGAACCAATTCAAGGAATTGGTCAGCACATGCAGATAGAAGAATAAGTGTTTGAAATGAACTAGATTAAGGTCTGCCCATCTAATTAGACTTACGTTTTATTGAAACTTGTACAACCTACAAACATGGGTTCACTTGAATGTGCCTTCATGCCTAACCAACCCACAGAACTTACACATACAGAAGGCTCTGGGGCAAGATAAACTCCAATTCATCATGCTTGTTTTCTATGTGTAACAGATACATGTGTGGATTTCCCCCCCACTTGGTATTATGGAGGAAGACAGGTCGGGGACCATGATAGAAAAGATAGAGATCTATGTTAAGATTTTTATTATTTATAGTATGGGATTTTTTATTTTTTTTTTAGAAAAACACAAAATGAAGGCTTTTTGTGACTGAGGCTGCAATTGCCATGGACTGAAAGAAGTCTGGAGAGACTTGACTGGGAAAAGTACATAGGACAGATGTGTTAAGATAAATACATATCCTGAAATCTGAACCAGATTTCAGGATTTCAATTCTTAACTCCTATTTCCACTTGCTGATCTTTCTTAAAGAAAATAAACAAACAGCTACATCTGGGTTCCAGAGATTATTCTCAAGGGTGAACAATATTCCCCAACAAAGGAGGACAATATTTGTCTTTTGGTGATCATGCTGTAACTATATAGTTGGAAGTAATTATATAAAGAATTTATCTTCTTAAGTCTTGCCTTCATGTCCTCCTAGTCATAGCATGAACATGGCTTGGCTATTCCTTTTTTTTTTCTGCCATATTTTGCCCATCTGGTATTAAAGTAGACCTCTCTGTTCTCCTGACAGTTTCTGTCATGGGTATCCTCTGGCATCCTTCACTGACCATTTGGTTGCTGAGATCAAGAGATGGGATCACTCCAACCCCTACTAATCGCTATAGGCTGCTGTTAAGCACAGCCCTACTTCTATAGTTGCTTAGCACTGCTGTCTATGGCCAGTTTGGCTCCAATTGCAGCATCCTGTAATGTCATATTGGCACTTTCTATAGTGCTGGCCATGTCTTTCAGTGGCTCCTTGTAAATATGGTTTGGTGCTTATCTGCAAGAGTGCTGAACCTCTTTTATAGCATGGGTGTAGTGGTCTCTTGGATGAAAATTAGTCCTGTGCCACATAGAAGATCAATATAAAGTGGGAAACAGATTTCTGCTAGCTATGGTCACCACTGGATATATTACAGACTTTCCCCCTTGTATCTACAAAAAAAGAGATTTAAAGTGATTGCGTAGTTTACAATTTTTGCTACTTTTATTATTTCTGAGGACTTGCACACATGCTACACTTGTTACCTTGCCCTTCGGGGACTAATATACTGCAGTTGCAATTCTTGTAGCCACGTGTGCAACACTCTACTACACTAACTCATGTAGCCCCTGGTGGCAGTGGGGATGGCTGTGTAATTCTGCCCACTCCATTCTGGATTTGGCAGTGCTGGGTTACATGCTGTTATTATACGTGGATCAATTCCAGTTGTGTGTTCTCTGTGCCCAACTACCACCTAGTTTTCAGTGCCTGCCATGATGCCAGAAATGTACTTATTGGCCATTTGCTGCCAGCACTGCCTCTCCTTTGCAGCATTAAATAAAGATGGATCTCACTCATTGGATCTCACTCATTAATGTTCCTTTCTCCTCCACTCTGTGCAACCACTTTTGCTTTTAATGCGTCAGGGTTAGGGCTCTTTCAGAAGAGTACTGGACTTGTGTTCAGAAATACCCTGAAGGGTCATAGACACAAAGGAGGGAGTTATGAGGAACACCAGGAAACACCTGTCTGCTTTACCCCATTCCCCACTCTTTAGTACCAACCATTTGCTAGGCAGAGAACTTGATTGATGGCTCAACGTACTGTTTTAGGCATCCATGTAAAATTGAACTCCGTTCCATCCTTTCTAGGAAGATTAATTGGTGATGGCACTGGGTGGGAAAGGAAACAAAGCCAGGGTAATCCACCAATCCCTTTCCTTAATTTAGCCTCTAATAAATAAGGCAAAACAATACGGAGGGAAAACAGTCTAGAATAGAAGTGAGGACTTTGCTTCCAAATAGAGTTCAGAGTATGTATGTCTGCAGCATTCGTAACTATAAGCTAATTTGTGAATGTGAAGATTACTGTTTTAGGAATTATATATGCTTGTTTATGTGTATGTATAAATGTTTGTGTATGTGTATATGCATATGTTTGTTTGAATATGTATGTGTGTATGTGTATGGGGCTGTATGTATGTTCTTGTTGCTTGCTCAGTGCAAGATGGGATCGACATGAGTTGAAATAAATAGCTATAATTTGTCTTCTCTTCCTGGCAGATGGCCTTACGTTGACTCAATAAGCATCATTGTGAAAATTCTGCTTCAATCATATAGCTGCATGGATCCAAATATCTTTAAAAATAGCTCTTTGAGCTCCTCCCCCTCAGTACCCTCCAGTAAAGCAGTAAAAGAAAGCATCTATAACAGGGCTGAACTGGGCCAACAGATCTAGATTGCAAAAATCTGGATGGCAAAAAAAAGACGGAGAGAAAATGCTAACTCTTTCTGTCATTTAGTGATCACTTGGATTTTTGCTGCTCAGATCTAGCGGCCATAACCAACAGCAGAAATTGGGTTAAGACAAAGACCTTAAATGAAACCATTGACTAATAATTTCAAGAAGAAATGGAATGAAAACCCAAAGAAGTGGGGCTAGGCAGGAGCCCAATAGGTTCCTAGGAATGATAGCAAGCATTATGGTTGTATCAAAGTTAGTCAGCCCTCTGGGGTATCATGGTGTTCCTCAGCCCTCAGCATGGAGCAGGTTTCTACCTCAGTTTTACTTTTGTTCTTTTCATATTATAAAATGCAAATGCTTGACAGAAAAGGACTGCTTGTCCAGAAGGATTCCTGCCGTTTCACAGTTGTACTGATCGACGTTTCCTCCCCAGGGAGTTGCGATGGTTATACGGCCGCATTTTCATTTCCACAAAAGGTATGGAGAACTCATGTCCTTTCCAATGGTACCAGTTAATACCCTGAAGGCCAAAGAGAGGAAAAGGAATCAATATGCTTGGAACCATTTGCACAGCACCTCTTTCCAGTTATGAGATGCAAATATATCACACTTTTTCAAGCCAAAATGTCCCAATAATTTGAGTGGGAACAGTTTATAATAATGATAAAAGTTGAACATAAATATTGTAAACAATGAGGTGTTAAACAAAAAACCACTTTGAGCTGTAGATAAAGAGATTATATTTTCATTTATTGTATATAATCTCTCTGTGAGTAGAAAATAAGGATAGCCTTGAGGTGGATAAGAGATAATTTGGGCTTGATATTTTAGTTGTTATTACCACTCCAGAATGCATATAATTTTATTATTTTGTAAGAACCGGAATTAAGTAAACAAAACAAGATATAAACATTCTATCCATAACCATATTCAATCTTAAAACACTACACTTTTTAATTTTTTTCTCCATATAAATCTCCTCAACATGCAGACTACTGGTGCATTTAAAACAGTGAGACTTTTTTTCCCTGCTGTGTTTAGTTCTCTACAAGGCATATTTTTTTATGGCAAAAAGGATTTGAATATTCAAATTTATATTTTACCTGAACTCTGGTTTAATGTAGTGCAAAATTCTAACTCTTCCAAACTATTGCCCCATTCTCTGTTTTTTAAATATAATCTCTTCTGTTTTATTTTAAAATAGTTTCCTAAAGCTCTAAATATAAAACCTTATGTAATTTTTAGGGAATAAGTATAACAACAACAATAGTATTAACAACAAATCCGAGGCATGGGGAAAAGATAAACCCTGACCATACTGATAGCATTTTTTCCATACTGGGGTTTGAGCTTTATGCCATGTTGCTTTCAAACTGTAAGTAGCCTATAAAAGTATACTTTGCTGCAGTGGCGCCACCAATAGATATTTGGGCTGGAAGAAAATTATGTAGACTGGGGTGAGATCCAGATGACTCTCTCTTCCCCATAGATTGTTGTTATTGTTGTTAAAAAAGCTTTTGGCATTTGGTGAAAATGTAAACTGCCATTTGTTATTAGTTATGTGGGGTTCTTGGTGATCTCTGAGCTTGTTTTCTTGCTGATGTTTCATTACCCAAACTAAGTAACATAATCAGTGCTGTTAGTTAATTTGATCCCTGAAACTAATCAAATCTATATGACGAATTGTCTGGCTTCTCACTCACTCTTATATCCTTTCCAGAATAGACTCTTTCTTGCAAACAGTACTGTATCGATCCTACTCTTACCTGGCTGTGTCGGGATTCACCATATTTACCATTGAGGTTAGTTCGATGACAGTTTTTATACCACCAGGCCCCTTTGTATGACATAGCACAGTTTGTAACGGCAACATCATTGTCCCTGTCTTTGGTGGAAAATGGACGTCCCTGATGATAGCTGAGCGAATCCCCTGCAAAATAAGGCATTACCTTTAATTTTTTCCATCAACAAAAGATTGATATTTTGGTTTCTGTTATTGGAACTACAATGGTTTCTATTGGTTGGTTTCTATTTTGGTTTCTATTATTGGAACTACAATAATATCAAAGAACTATAAGAAAGCTCTGATTCCAGAGCTAAGAATTTAAATGTCTTCACTGCACCTGTTTTGTTTCATGCGCTCAGGTGACCATCATCAAACCATGTTTGCTAAGTAAATGGGTTGTACTGTAAACAGATAGCACTTGGCTATTTATTTTTGTAGGAAAAGAGAACAGCTGAACATTTTGACATAAAACAGTAGCTTTCAGAGTCAGTGGCTACATCCTCCAATACACACCTTGCTCCAATACATATGCATATTGTATGCTGGTTTTCAGGATCCTTAAAGACTGCACTGTTAAATGAGTAGCATTTTCAGCTTTTGAGACAACTGAGATACTAGAACAGCTGATTAAACCTTTTAAAACTAAAAAAAACTCCTGTTAGTTTCTATAGAATTGTGTTTTATAGAAATTGATTATGGAATCAATTTTATATGCAGATGTTAAAGGGTCTAGGACAACTTGCTGCATCCGACTCACCCTGGCTGTCTCGCCCCGGCTATCCAGCCCTGGCCAACTCACCCCAGGACAACTTGCTGCAGGACAATTCAATACGGGATAACTCAAGAGAGGGAGAAGAGAATTGCAGCAGGCCTTGCTGCAAAAGGCTTTAAGTTTGAATCTTCTCAAATTAGAGGTCCTTAAGGCTGAGGTGAGCCAGAGTTTGGAATCCCAGCAGCCCATTGGCCAAGCCTGATGTAAACATGGCACACCTGGGTACTCCCTGCACAGATCCAGGCCGAAAGTGTGGTGCATGTGTGAGAGAAGGCCCACCACTGCTGCCATTTCTTCCAGACATGCCCATTTCAAGGACCAGCTGCTCTACTGACATCCAGGTACTGATCCTGCACTTCCAGCCTTACCAAATGCTCAGGGCTGGAAGGAGAAACATTGGGCTTGGGGCTCTTTGGTGGTTTCATTTTAAAAGGGGTTGCAAATTTCTCTAGGGATTTTTACTCAGCCAGAAAGAATTCTTAATTGGTCCAGTGGCATTTTCCTGCCCAGTCAATGAAGGATTCCTCAGGGATTCCTGGGATTCCTGGGATTGGCCCATTTGCTCCCACTACGCCATGAGGAGTCGAAAGCAGGGGGGAAAAAGGGATGACAACAGCATCCTTCAGGATGAGCACCAATGCATCTGCTTTTCCTCTCCCCAATGCCCCCCTTCTCTCCTCTCATAGTCTTAGCTCCAAATCTGCCCTTTCCCTTCCTCCCACAAGCCTATTTTTTTTAGAGAAGAGCAACAAAGATGATTAGGGGATTGGAGGCTAAAACATGAAAAACACTTGTAGGAATTGGATATGGCTAGTCTAGAGAAAAGAAGGACTAAGGGTGATATGATATCAGTATTCCAATAACTAAGGGGCTGTCACAAAGAGGAGGGGGGGGAGACAACCTATTCTCCAAAGCACCTGAAGGGAGGACAAGAAGCAATGGATGGAAACTAAAACCTAAAACTAAGGAGAAATTTCTTGATAGTTAGAACAATTAATCAGTGGAACAATCTGCCTCCAGAAGTTGTGGGTGCTTCAAACACTAGAGATTTTTAAGAGGAGATTGGACAATCATTTGTCTGAAATGATATAGGGTTTCCTGCTTGAGCAGGGGATTGGACTAGAAGACTTCTAAAGTCCATCCTAACTCTGTTATTCTGAAGGGGAGAATAACTGGGAGTGATGTCAAGGAAGTGGTTCTAAGGGTGAAAGCACATAGATTAGTTCCATCATCTCTCCCCCAGCCTTCATTTCCTCTGCTCCATGAGAAGAAGATAGTCTGTTGAGATAGTCCGGGATGGGAGGAGTAATTCTTAAAAGCATACCAGCAGTGCCATTATATTCCCCTATCCGGAGCTTATAGAGATTCCTGGCATCTCCAATGGAAAACTTGTCATAATAGGCATAAGTTGTTTCTTGACCATCTCTCATATCTATCCGCAGTTCATAGCGCCCTTGTGATGTGATCTTGTGCATATTATCTAACCCTGGAGAAAACATAAACAGAACATGAACAGAGATTTTATAAGATCTTGTATCTAGAAATCTGTAAACAATGAGTAATGGAATTCATATTTCAGATGGCATGGAATTTGGATTGAGAGTAGAATGGATATCTACCCTAAACCTACTTGTAAAAAAGAAATCTCTCCACTGTCCAGGTACACTTCCAATTTTGGGTGATTATGGCCATGTGCTGAAAGGTTCTAGATAAGGGACCTCAGAAATTATCCCTCCCCTTTGAAACATCTTCAAATGTAGTCTTGGCTTTTCACTGCAGTTATTTCTGTCTATTTGGCTACCCATTTATTATATTGTATTCAGGAAAGAATTTATAAAAATAAAAACCAATAAAATGTTAACATATTTCATTGGTTGTGCCAAAGATACTAGTTTCCTTTGAAAGATCCAAATAAGTCTCTACAATATTTTTATAGCAGGTTACTATGCTGGGTATCTGATTTGGAAACCTTCTCTTCCAAAGCCAACTTGATGAACTTGCTATATGGGTGTGAAGGCTGCATTTACAATAGAATGACTATTAAAAACAATAACAACAACACTGATCCATTGGCCCAGCCTTTTAAGGAAGGGATAGCTTATTTCCTTATCCAGAAACTTTTCATGATGGTTATAGAAAGGCCTTTATGCTGAATGTCAAGCTGTTTTCACCTGACTACTATTGGTATCTTCATTTTATATGGGGAACTGACCAGCATGCACATCCATGAATTTTCCAAGATCATGAAATCCTCGGGCTGCAAGAATTATTTAATGAATATGATCACACTTATCTTGAACCATTTTATTCCAATAATTCATTTTGTATGTTTCTCTCACTAAAATTCATGACTATGCTGAAAAATTCTCTGGTGATTCTTGCATCTTGCCCCTTTAAGCACCTTAAAGGAATAGACAGAAGCTATCAATCTCTCTCCCAATGTTTTCCCTCTCAGATGGATTTCCAGATGTTTTTTTTCTGGGAATGGGTGAGATATGATGAAGGCGGGGTCAAGGAGCCATGTGTTTTAAACTTCTAGGGGGAAACAAAGAAATCTGACAGCATGTTAAAGAGCAAAACGCTGCTACCTCAACGAAACATAGAAACACAATCAGCAGAATCTCTTTCTGCTGCTCTAGGCATAGAAAAGAAATAGTTCAACTCCTTAATAATTTCTTCTACAGGTCTAAAGGAGACAATGAAGTGAAAAATGAAGTTCAATTTTTTTACCAAAATGCCCATCCAGAATACAGTAGTCATAAATTAAAAATTATGGTTTTTGATAAAAAGGAGAGTTAGAGCTACCTTTCATGATTAAATAAGTTTGCCAAATTGGTTCTTTGTTTTATGGAAGAGGAATAGTCTTAAATTCTCCTTTGCAGACCAGGCATATGTATTAGGCTAAATTGAAACTGAATATTTGTGTACAGTAGATGGCAGCATCTACTTGAACTTGGTTGTTTCTAAGGCAGTGTTCAGCCTGGTTAAGACTTGAAAAGGAAATCACTAGGAAATCCAAAGGTTGCAGGGTAGACAGGGAATTTGGGGAGGGAGGGTTGCTTGTGCATTACTGAACAGAAATTTATATAGTCATATTTGTGTAGTCACCTTGAGTCAGACTCAGTTTGAAAGAATCTTTACTTTTACAGAGTGCAGCTAGATTAAGGATTGGCATCTTCTCAAAACAGACTTTCTTGGGGCATGTTGTGTTTAATGTAGTATATAGTCTGTTACAGAAGAACAGAATTCTCTATAGTAAAGGAATTCATTTAATTATGCCCTATTGATATTTCCTTATAATACACAAAGGTAGGGCTAGGAATTATATTGTGCTTCCTATACATTGCGGGCTAGAAGGAATATAAACTTAATGCACAATAATTCCTTGGCATAGGCTTTTCTTTAAGCAGATACTATAATGCTGTGTGACTGCATGTAATATAATTAAAAGTATATGTGCATAAGACAATGATTCCATGTCATCTGAACAAAGAATTTGATCAACACATTCTATGGAAGCAAAAGGGCTTCATTACCTGAAAAATAAGCCATTTTAGACTAGACTAGACTAGACTAGACTAGACTAGACTAGACTAGACTAGACTAGACTAGACTAGACTAGAATAGAATAGAATAGAATAGAATAGAATAGAATAGAATTCTTTATTGGCCAAGTGTGATTGGACACACAAGGAATTCATCTTGGTGCATACGCTTTCAGTGTACATAAAAGAAAAGATACATTTGTCAAGAATCATAAGGTACAACACTTAATGATAGTCATAGGGAACAAATAAGCAATCAAATCGTATTAGGAAACAGTCAATATAAATCGTAAGGATACCAGCAACAAGGTTATAGTCATACAGTCATAAGTGGGAGGAGATGGGTGATAGGAACGATGAGAAGATTAATAATAATACAGACTTATTTATTTATTTATTTATTAGTCCAATTTATATGCCACCCTTCTCCATAGACTCAGAACGGCTTACAATGCATTATAGCAATAGCCTGCATACTTTTATGTATATACCTGCTTATTAGGGCTTTCGGCCCCCCCTAAGTGGTGTTGTTCTATACAAAGCTGTAATAACTTAATAACTAGTTTGACAGTGTTGAGGGAATTATTTGTTTAGCAGAGTGATCGCGTTCGGGAAAAAAAACTGTTCTTGTGTCTAGTTGTTTTATGTGTTTTCATAGCATGTGGTTTGTTATTAATAAAAATCAGAACAAAAAATGAATAAAGCTGCCAAGCCAACCAGACTATTTGTTGAGGCAGAGAGAACAATGATTAAAAAAGGCAATCGGGGGGAAGAGGAGACAGAGAGAAGATGTGTTCATGTTTTCAGGTGCTATGATGAACAGATATCTAGTCTCTCCACAGACAGTGTAAGTGGCAAACAAAGTTAGTGATTTGTTACCCAGCCAGAACTCATCCTCCAGGTTTCCAAAGCCAATGCGATAGTCTGCCCATTTGCGAAAGAAATCAGTCAATCCATTCTGTCTTCTCTGGAAAACCTGCAAGGAAAGATCAAGGTGAAGGATACTGTAAGAAATGAGAAGACTTTCAATATGTCTTGCAGGAAGATGTGTGATTTTTCTAACAGAAAACTTCAAAGGGAAAAAGTTGATGAGTTTAAAATAGACATAAGAAATTTCAGGGAGTTTCTGAACTGGTTGTACTCTTTCCTTACATTCAGTGCAAAAATTTATTTACCAGATTTTTAAACCACTGCATTTTTTTAAACTTCAGACAATTTACATACCTAAAAACATCTACAATACAACAATACAAATGAAAAAAGTAAAACTATAAAAACCATTACCATTGATGTCAGTAAAAAAAAACACACCACTTCTCTGTGGAAAGATTTGGCATTACCCACTATGGAGGAATAAGTGGTAGAAGTGAGAGAACTTTCAGAGAGGTCTTATTATTTTGGGGCGTGTGGAGCAAGATGGGGCTCCTCTTGCCATCTTACCTGATTTCCAGTTCTGTGTTTAAATATTTTCGGGGAGGGCTTATTTTCAGGGGGGAGGCTTATTTTAGCGCATGCGCTTAAAAGCCCAATTGGGCTTATTATCAGGGGGATAATAAGGTCTTACCAGGTCTTATTTTTGGGGAAACAGGGAAATTACCCCAAAATCTTCTGGAACAGTTTGATTTTGACCAATGTCTAGAAGACCTGCAGAGCTGGGGCAAGCTGTCTTCCTGTGGTTTGCTCCAAGAGAGAGGTATCTCTTCCTAATCTCAGCCATTCCAAGGGAGGGAATGGCTGAGGGCTGGTAGAGGGAACTATGATCATTTTTTCCCATATAGTTTGTATTAGACAGATTAATTCTGGTTGAATGAGGTAGTCCTGAAGATATGAATATTCAATACTGAATGTTGATTATCATCTCTTTTTAATCTTTATTGCTATACCAGCAGTTCTATAAACATCTGAAATATGATTTCTTCCCCACTTCTTTCAGGAAATCAGGGATGATTTCTGGCTGATAGGATATGTTGCTGGCAACTTCTCAAGGGAATCAACATGATGTGCTACTGTAGATGGAACCTAAACTATTTCTGCTCAGCTGTGAGAACAGCAAAAGCAAGATTTTTTTTATTTTAAGCCAATTGTGAAATTCACTCCAACCTGGAACATGGGCAGCTTTATCTGTGAAAGTTTGAATATGAAATTGAATAAGCAAGCTTTGAAGTGGATGGAGTAGGAATACATTTTTCTTCAAGAATTCATGCAGGTTATGTAAGAAATTTTATGGCCTTACTTGGCTTTACAGTATGTGAGTGCTTTATTGTTACTTTTGCTACCTCTGATCTATCTTTTGAGGATGGCTAATGCACAGTATCGACTGCAATCTAATCCTGTTATGTGTGTTTGTGTTTATGTGTGAGTGTGTATGTGTGTAATTTCCTATCTCCTATATATGAAATGAAAATATCAGCAATAAGGCCTTTTGCCCATATTAAAAATGAAACACATTTCCTTTTGAGATTAAATCATCTCACAGGTCTTCTGTAGCCTATCCTGGGTCCACACATTCCCTCTAGCTGCAATATATTGAGCAGTGAACATGGAAATTTCACCGTTGATTAATTTCCTTGATAGAACCATGAATCAGTTGCAGCTTCACTCCCAAAAGGAGTTTCAGTGTAAAACCAATCACAAGGAACCTGATTGTAACTATTATTAACTTAGTCCTCAGGGCATGGGAAATAGAATATCTCAGCAAGTCATTCTGATGTTTGATTCATATTTTTCATTCCTGCTTTACATCCTTTATCTAAGAACTTTCATTCAGGTAAAATATACAGTAAGTATCTGTAAGATTCCCCCCCCCCACCTTTGCTTTCCAAAATAAGTTTTGTGTTGAAGATCAGCCATTTAAAATGGGCCTCGATACAAATTTTTTCCATCTATTTGTTCTATAACAACAACCTTTAAAGTTTCACGCTAATAACCTCAGAGCCTCTGATGGACTAAAATGTTTTTTTCATGATTTAAGATTCTTTTCAGAAAGCTCTGCTCTGCTACCTCTAATTTATGAAGAGATGAAAGAATTTTGAAAAAAATAAATGACAATAGTTATTTTGGCAAACTTTCAAAACATAAGTTGGTATTTATAAAATGAAAAGTTGCACTACACAAAAGTTGTATTGTTTATACGCTGGACTAGATGTGTTCATTTTCTTCTACCTCTGATAACTGAACTGGATAACATGTGGCATTGGTTATTCACTTACAATCCATCCACCGCCATCTGTAGTCATATCACAGTATACTTGCACTCTCTGGCTGAGATCCCCATTAAGGGAAATGGTGTAAACGCCACTCAGATTGTCACCATTGATCAAATGCTGGGCACAGTCCTGAGGATTCATAAACACACGGCCTCCTGTAGATGGGGGCAATAACAGCAGAAGAGAGATTGCAGGATTGTTTATATATTTACCAGGGATATCATTCATAATTAATTAAGATCAATGAAGTAAGTCACATCCTAGGAGTTTACTTCAAAGAAAAGAAAATACGCTCCTTAATATGAATATCACTAGTATTTTTTGCTGATAACTAGGGAGGTGATCTAAGGGTCACTTCTAATTTTACAACAAGAAATTATTCAGAACTATGGAGGAACTTGATCCATGGGAGGCTACAGGTAGTCCTTGATTTATAACCATTAACAACTATTTGAAGGAACAACAGCACTGAAAAAAGTGAATGCAGTTTGTGCACAGAAAACTGGGTATCAAACAAGCTCAGACTGTTTTTGAGGTAACAACGATGTTTGAAGAAGTTGCTGATGACAAACCTCTGCCATTTGCTCTGAATAACAAAAGATGTGGCCCATGATAACTCTGGCTGTACAATCTTAGACAACTACTCCTTTGCCACAGTAGCCATTGTTTTGCCATGAGTCCCAGCAATCAGCAATGTAAATGGGAATTGCTGAGAGGGATGTCTGTGCAACCTTCCTTTGAGAAGGTTAGCTAGAATTGCTGTACAAAGGGCACTTCTGGAGACAACCATTGAAGACACCCCTCTTTCTTGCAAATAGGGACCTCCTTTCCCATTTAGATTCCTTCTAGTGCATGATACTCTGAGGTGTACCTTGGAAGAGAACTGTTCTCTGCTATCAGTCTTTTTGACTTTCTGACTTGACCATGGTATTGAGTTTGCACAAACCTTGAGCCAAATAAGGGGTACAGTTTAGAGTCAGGGGAAAATAAATGACATAAAAATTCTAGCCACAGACCTAGACTTAACTTGGGATCTTCCTAGTTCAAAACATCAGATCAGTTGTTGTGCTTCTACAGATGACTAAGATTTTGTAAATAGAAAAAAATGGTTATGCTATTCTTAAGTGCCATGAAGAATACTGCATACACTTATGTATAATTTCTGTACCAGTAAATGATTGAACTCTATCAAATAATTTGGGTTGTGAGGGGTTCTTGGTGCTCTCTGTGCTTGGTAGATTTCTTGTAGACATTTCATTATCCAAACTAGGTAATATCATTAGTACTAATAGCTAATTTGGGTTGTTTTGCACATATTTTGTTTACCTCTGCTTCTCAAGAAATGGAGCAAGAGTTTTGCAGGGCACTGCAAACAGCTCTTCATTGCTTTAATGACAATGAACACATACAATTTTGCCTTTGGGACTAATATTGCTTATATAATTTCCTTTTTTAAGATTCATAGATATTTCCAAGTCTTTCACTGTGCAAAGAGACATTTACTTTTTACAATATTTAAACCGCTTATACTCCTCAATTCACTTCATGGGGATTATTTATTTTCCATTTATATTAATACCTTTAAAATTTTCAACAGACCTTGGAAGAAATGGGTGACATTCAAAAGAATGTTTCCTTTGTGTGACTTGTAATGTGTTTCCCCTGAAGGTTTCTATACATATGAACAACAAAGGACAGATAGTTATTAACAAGATGCAAGGAATAAAAGGCCTCTTTGTTATGTTTCCAATAAACATGAGCAGGCATAACACTTTCAGTGTACAGCCAGGGAATTTCCTTTTTGTTAATCATATCTTATTGTTCTGGAAAGCATTACCAGAATTTAATCAGACTGGCATCTTGAGACGTTTTTTGTTTTTGCTTTTTGTCAGACTATACACATTATATTGTGAATTCTGTAAGTTGGTCCATACATCTGGAAGCCCAGATTGGAGAAGGATGTTCAAAGGAGTGTTCAGTTGATCACCTCTGTGGGGCCTTTGGAAGGCTGACTGAGAGGATGTGAGGAGTGCCAAATCTGCACTGGATTGGCTCTTGATCCTAGATCCCTATAGTGGAATCTCTTTTAGTAAAACCCATGCATGCATCTAGGGTTGAAGGTTGTTCTAAAATCTGTCCCCTTCATAGCATTTCCTTAGTAAACAGAAAGACTCTTAAAAATATAGAAGTTGGTTGGCAACTTAAAGGCATTGAGAAGTGGAAAAAATGCAGGGAAAAGCCACAAAGATACTTTGGGGGGGGGGACTTGTAAACAAAATCCTCCAAAGATTGTTTAAAGGAATGTGATGTGTTTAGCTTACAGAAGAGAAGGCTAAGGGGACACACGACACCAATCATCTGGTTGATGAAGAGATGTCATAGGGAAGGGAGTGTGCATTTATTCTCTAGAGCACTCAAAGGTAGAACACAATGTATGGAAGCTTTACAGTGACACATTCAAATTTGAAATAAAGAGGAATTTCCTAAATGTAAGAGCTATCAAGCAGTGGAGCAACTTACTTCCTGCAATCATGGGTGCTCCTTTACTGGAAGATTTCAAGAAAAAAAAAATGGGACAGCCATATATCCAGGATGTAATGAGGATCCTGCACTGGGCAGGGGGTTGAACTAGAAGACCTCCAAGGACCCTTCCAACACTATGATTCTATGAAAAGTGACCAAGGGAGAAGATGTATATAAGCATGCTATGTCAAATTACACCAAGCGATTTGATAAGCTTTAACTAAGCTGGATGGATCATTTTGAAAACTCTTTTATCCTTTGCAACAAACTTGCTCTAATCCTTTATCCTAAGTGAAGTGGAAGGAAGAATAATGTAGCAGCCACTGATCTCTGGCTATTTAAAGCAAGCGGGGTTTGTGTCTGTTGATAGCTACTGTTGTTAACTGACACTTCAAAAGCCTTTTTATTTGTCTCAGTGAAGCATAGGTCTGCAATACGTCCAAGGAATTCCTTTTAGGCTACTAGATATAAACACAGACAGTGCGAATGGGTGGACAGCTCTTTTCCCTTTTGTCATCTCTTCTGAACACTTTAATACAAATGAAAATGGATTTGACCATTTTTGAACGTGGCTTTCTAAAGAAGTAATTTCACACAGCTATCCTTTTGTTCTGCTCTTATTCACAATGTGTTTACAGAATAGTATTCTGCTAAGGCGAGATTTCTCAGTAGCACCTGGATTATAACAATGTGCTTCATAAACTGACACTTCAACACAAAGGAAACATTCAGATTGTGGAGTTAGATATTCATATTTTTTTAAAAAAAATCTTGCTGTATTGGGAATAAATAGATGTTAGGTATTAAAACAGTTGGTTAAAACTATTCATTTTCTCTACCCTGAGTGGGAGGGGCTTCCTGAGAGCGATGCAGAAAGGGCAAGAGAATAGCAAGAGAAATGTGGGAAAGAAACAGTTCTTATCTTATCCTGCAGAGATATTGAGTAGGATCAAGAAACTGTCCGAGGAAGGCAAGGTGGGAAAGTGGTCATAGTAAACTGTCCACAACAGTATCTAATTTACAGGTATGTGTGTGTGCATGCATGCATGCATGTGGGCTTTCATGTATATATATATTTAATGGATTTATAGCTGCCAATCTCATATACATGATTCCATGTGGTTCACAATATGAAAAGTAACAGAAACATACACAGAAATATAAAAGCTATAGCAACTGGGATTACAACCCACACTCCAGCACAGCAATGGGCTTCCATAAAACACATGTTAGAAAATGCAGCCCATGTTCAGATTAGGTGCTATGGCATGTAATCTTCAGGGAGTGTATTGAACAGCTTTCCTGTGGGAGGTGGCAGCTGAAGAGAAAGAGAACTGGCACCAAAAGATCTGCTTTCCACCTTCTCTTGCCTTGGGTTGCAAGAGAAGTAGAACTGTTGCAGTGGGTGGCAAAAAAGAAAAGTAAAGTATATTTTTGCATGCATGTGGAAGAAATGGGAAGGGGGTCTTCCGGTGCCAATAATTGGACCAAATGAGACATTTGCACCCTACATCTCTCATTTCTCTTTATTCTTTTTTGGGCAAAAACCCATTCTGGTGGTTCTGTCTAGTGATAGGATCTGTGGGCAGTGCATTTTATACTAGCATAGTTTTCTGCTAGCTCATGACCTGGAGAAAAATCACTGTAACACTGCACAGTCCAGGTGCGCTTTTGAAAGCCCTTTGGAAACTCCAGTTAGTAAATCTGAATATTTTGCCACAACTATGAAATTAATATATGTAACATATTATGTTATTTTGAAAGACCTACAGTATGCTGGCTTGTCAACCTTGGTGGCACTACTGTAAATGGTATGTGGCAGTGACCTTGGGAGACAGGAGGAAGAGCCACAGCCTAGACAATCACAATGCAAAAGGATACCTCAGTCCACAGAAGGAAAAGGGGCATGGGAAGCATCTCAGAAGAGACCCTCCCTAATTTTCTGGACAATAAAAGTAAAGGAGAGGAGACGTGCTTTCAGATCTGCAAGATTCTGATACTGTAACCATACAATAAAGTTAGTGTTAATACTCACGGCTTGTGCTTCCCTGTGTGGACCACCTTGAAGAGCTGGAAACCCTCCAGGTATGTTGGAATTGCAATGAAATTACTTTGTGTAAAAGTCTATCCACATAAGAATCTGCTAAAATTGACTCCCTATCTTCCAAAGTAAATCAACCGGCAGCAGTTCCTTTTTAATGAGGCATCCTCTCTTCGGGACTCTTTCTTCAGACAGATTTTCTGGCATTACTTCTATTCTTTTCCTAGTACCAGTCAAAACCTTTTTTTCTTTAAATTTCCCTTGCCTTAAATTATTCTGTGCTGGATTTATATTTGCTACTCTGATTTTGTTATCTTTCATTTTGTTGTTCCACACAGAAGTCAAATAATAAACAGGATAGAAAGTTCAGTGTTATTGGAAGAAAATTAAAAAGGAATACCTAATTTTCTGAAGAAGTACATTTGTTTTTCCCTTGTGTCATCTATTCATGTTCTTAGTTCATTGCTAACTTTGGAAACAGATGACTGGTTTGGAAAATCTCTATCTTGAATTCCTATGGAAAGATTTGCATGGTGGGACCAGGGCCGGATTTAGATGAAAAGAGGCCCTAGGCTATTCCACTTATGAGGCCCTTTCACCTATAGTGAAAGTGTAATTTTAATTTTGCTAACAATTTGAATGTAGGCCCCTCTTGATCTTGAGGCCCTAGGCTGAAGCCTAGTTAGCCTATAGGAAAATCCGGCCCTGGGTGGGACCTCACTCAACCAATTCAGTCACTCTGTTCACCAGCAATCCATAAATTGGGGTGGCTGGGACAGTCATTTATCTGCAATTTCTAGTCATTCTGATTGTGTAAAGCAGGCTGGGAGATGCCCATTCCCATTTTCCATTTTTTCCTTCTGTGCTAGATCAGGAAATGAAAAACTATGGTGGAGTTATCAGAGAAAGAGCCCATCCCATCCCAACCTTTTCCTGTCCCTACATGACTGCGTGAAAAAATGTGTGAAAAAAAAAGTTTGCATTTAGAGACCAAGTGTTTGCTTTTGTTGGCCTGTCTTTGTTGTGGTCATGGCAATGCTACTGCCTACTTCCATGATATTATGTAAACAGGCTCCACAATGTATTTTACTTTCACTGCTTTTGTGTAGGGGAGGAAGGAGAGTTAATTTTTGCTAGGAGGTTTAAGCTTTAGTAATACTAACTGACTGTGCATGGAATAGTTATGAAAATTGCTCTGTGTTTGTGCTGTTCTGAACCCGAGCAGTTAATTATAAGGAATGATGCAAATCAGACAGAGCTCATTTTAAAAATCATTCTCTTAATAAAACTATGGTGGTTATGGTGGCCATGTGAAATAGGATAACATATGATGTACTGCTCTTACCTGTAGTGAAGATAGTGGAGATAAATCCACTCCTCACAGCATCTTGAGCTGCTTGCAGGCGCACAGTGTACTCTGTATTTTCAGAAAGGCCTTCTAGGCGGATCCAGGTATCTTCTGCATCCACAATCAGCTCCTTTGTGTGTATCATCAACAAAATGGAAACACAAATATAACAGAGATGAAATTTGCAGAGCTTGGGTAAGAAATGAGAATGAATAGGAAATGAGGAAAAGGTATCTGGAAATTCCCCAACACCAAGATTGTTATCTCAAACCTTTGACTCTTGGCAGTGGGCAGTGGAAAAATCAATTATACCAACATGGATGGGTCTCAAATGTAATGGAACAAAACATGCTAGGTTGTACTACTCAGTTACTGTCAAAGTTGTAGATCAGGCTTATTCTCTTCTTTGAGCTGCCAGAGAATATCCAATTGCACGAAATTGACATGAAAAACACAGAAGATTGATTTGAGAAGGGACTCATGCAGGGGAGCTGGGAGGAATTAGTGTGCTGAGGGAATGGAAAAGGTCCCTATAATCCAGTTCAAGAGATTGGAAACAAAATCAGCCATTCAGGATAATTCATTTCTGCTAAACTGAGAATTTCTCATGATAATAATTTTCATGACAAACTTCTAAATTTCACTGTTGCTTACATACTTTACTGTAACAATGTATATAGCAGCTCATCTCATCAGAGTAACTCTAGATGGCATACAGATGGTTAAAAATCCAAATAAAACAATTTACAAAATAAATACCCAGAAACAGAAAAATAACAGAAACTTCCAGAAAAAAAAAATCAATATTCTGCTTCTATTTTCTCAGATTCAGGTGCTGGAAAACCTCAGCTATCTACTGTAACCATATATCCAGTTTTCCAAATCTCTATGACAAGACCTCAAACAGAACTAGAACACAATATCCCTTTTCTACAAGCATTTGTCAGTGACTAATAGTTAAGAAGCATCTTGCTCCAAAAATTGGAGATGGATCTCTACATCACTTCTTGATTATTGGACAGAGATTAAAAGTCTGTATCTATTCTTATCAGCTTGTATCTGACTTGAGGACTTTGTTCTTACATCTAAGAACACTGCAGTGTGAGATAAGACTATTCTGTTTGTCTATTATGTGTGGACTTCTTGGCTGATACTAAAACTTGGAGTAATTATTATTTGTCTGAATTTATTAGCCCAACTTCAATGGATTATATGCAGTGTACAAACCCAATAAAAACAGATAAAACAATCAAACCATACAGACAGCCTAGATTAAAATGATTTTATAAACAACACAAATCAATCAATTAATCAAACAGGCAAACAGGAGAAAAACCTGAACCGGTTATTTTTCTGCCCTTAATCTATGGCATTTGCTGAGAGCTGCCCAGCAGCCCTGTTTATTATAGTATCAAGAAAGGGTGCCTTCTCTGTCACAGCTGCCCCCATCAGACAGCATCCTCCTGGAGATAAGGGTAACACCCTCTTTCCTGGGGTTCCGGAAAACTCTTAAAATCTGGCTTTGGTCCCAGATCTGGTGTTGACATATCAATATATTATTGTATTTCTGCCTCATCCCCCATCCATTTTTTGATAAAAAAAAAACAGTTGTGAATTTTGCCCACTTTACCGTTATTAAGTGAATCACTGTAGTTGTTAAATTAATAACACTGTTGTTAAGTGAATTTGGCTTCCCCATTCACTTTGCTTGTCAAAAGGTCGCAAAAGGTGATCATATGACTCTGGGACACTGCAACTATCATAAATCACTTTTTCAATGGTCTTGAAACTTTGAACGGTCACTAAATGAACTGTTGTAAATTGAGGACTACTTGTTTTGTTTTTTATATTGTTTTGGTATATGTGAGGCATACAAAGTCCTTTGGCTTGGGCAGCATTAAATCAAATCAATAAGAAAGCTATACAAAGATGTTGCAAAAAGCCTTTAAAAAGTTGCATGCAAGTTTGAATAATGATATTAGCTCCCTTCACTCTCTGCAGTAATTGGCAGATGAATTGATGGAAATTGCTTCTGTGAAAGCTTAGGATGTTTTTAGTTAGGTGAAGTTTATAGGAATTTTTTTGGATAAAAATAGTGCATAAAATCTATTTAATAAACCATGACTTTAAAAATATGGAGGCAGAAGTATCTTATCTCTTCTACAATTCCCCTGCAGTTGGCCAAGATATAATGCTATTTCTAATTGTATTTCTCTTCAGCGATTACAGTGCAGAATGGGTTGAATAGAAGTGGGGAAATGCTCTGAGTAACAGTGTGAAAGGATTCTCTTCTGTAAGGGAAGAGACTAGCCAGCTTTGCTTGCTGGCCTGTTGCTTCCTTCCATTACTTTTTCATACTGTGCAGGCATGAGTACTATCTTACTGAAATAATAATAATGCTGCAAAACTATTATAGTAGATCATAAATAAAATGATAAACATTCCTTCAATTTGAGATCCACTCTCAGTAACTACTTAAAGAGGCCAATTTAGTGTTTTTGATAATAATATAGAAATGGCTTGCTAGTGCCTTCTGTGATATTTCAAGTTTTCAGTCTCATGTACAGTTCTGGAATGTATGATTGTTTCATAATTGGTTACTCGGAGCAAGAGGTTAGGTGTATGCAGTGGTGGGATTCAAGTAATTTAACAACCGGTTCTCTGCCCTAATGATTTCTTCCAACAACCAGTTTGCCAAACTGCTCAGAAAGTTAACAGCCGGTTCTCCCGAAGTGGTGCGAACTGGCTGAATCCCACCACTGGGTGTATGTCTATACAGATAATCAGATAGTCCGGGTTCCAAGTAACACCCCTAATGAAATAATTCTTCCATTTAAGAAACTATTTTCTTCTCCAACCCATGACAAAGGGCTCTGTATTTTAAAGCATTAAGTAACACATAGCCAAACAGGAGCACTGAGTTATTTTGTGTGCCAGGAGAGAAGAAAGTCCTTCCTTTAAACTATTGCTTTTTTAAAGAATTGTAAGAGTCGGCTTTGTTAGTCCTGATTGTCTAGATTTTTTTTTTTTTTGCTTTAATTTATACGCCGCCCTTCTCCGGAGACTTAGGGCGGCTTACAATGCGTTAAGCAATAGCCTTCATTCTTTTGTATATTTATACAAAGTCAGTTTATTACCCCCACAATCTGGGTCCTCATTTCACCTACCTTTGAAAGGATGGAAGACTGAGTCAACCTTGAGCCTGGTGAGATTTGAACTTGCAGTAATTGCAAGCAGCCGATGTTAATAACAGTGTTTAGTCCACTGTATTACAGGCTCTTTAGCTATAGATTGCTCATGTGACCTCATAGCCTTCACTCGTAACATATTGCCCTTGCTTTTAATGCTTTCAACAAATAGCCATGTTTATTGTTCTGTACTGTAACAACATCATATTAAATATATGATTCTTGATTTGTAGGCGCGTTAGGAATAGTAATGAAACAATGGAAACCACTTTAGAATAAACCAGGGAGGAGAAATAACTGCAAACAATTGTATATACAAGTGATTCTGGACTCCTTAGGGCAGGGCTGTCAAACTTGTGGTCAGCGAGCCAGATGCGTCTGGTACTGGCCACGCCCACACCCGGTTTAGCAAAGGAGAAAAAGTTGCAATAAGTAACATGACGCCGCTGTGATATTGTGAGTTTGACACCCCTCCTTAGGGTCATTACACACAAGCAAAAAAAGAAAAATATAAAAGTGGCATTTTGTTTGATTCAATGACTTATCATTACAGGCCACAAGTGGCCACACCTGGCCACTTTCCAAAAATCAGCAGTATCGATTCCTACCATTATGAGACAGGAAACTCATGAGAATTGTAGTTTAAGTGTACAGGAAACCTGAAAATAGACTTAACACAGATGCTTCCAAATTCTTTGATACAGCCACAAAATGTTGCCATCCCTCATAATGGAGCTAAGAGATGAAGGCCCCACCTTGCGGCTCCCATCAGGGGATCTGTAGGTCATGATGTAGTTCTCAATCTCAGCTACAGGAGGAAGCCATGAAAGAAGAGCGCTTCGCCGAGTCACTTCACTTGCTGTAAGATTTGATGGCGGATCCAAAACTGTAAAGGTAGGAAAGGAATAGAGGAAGAGGCCTACATATCTATGTAGAGGTGATAGGGATTTTTAAAAATGAGTCATGCAGAAGTTATAGTTTTCCAAGGAAACAAAATGCCATCCAGGTTCTTAGGACTCAGTGGGACCAACAAATTTCCACTCCACTAACTGAAGAAACTGGCCATCTCTACATTATTCTTTATGCTTTTAAAAACAATTCTGAGCAAGAGGAGCAGCAGAAAATGAACAATATACAATAAATCACTGAGCTTAACCCAGAAAACATAGATGCAATTGTGGCTTATCACTATCAAGCAATACTTTCATTTCCTCCTAGTATTTGAAATCAACTTGTAAATTCCTACCAGAGGGAGGAATATATAATACTTACGAGTAGTAAAGTTGGTGAAGATGGTTCTACTTGTGACAGGCCCATTGATGGCATACATGGTGACTTTATAGCTGGTACTGGGAAGCAAATCAATAAGCTTATATTCTTGTTCGGTCCTGTCCACCAAAATAGTTTCTCCTGCAACTGAAATCAGAGGCAAAAGGATTGAACAGAACATGAGGCTAGGTGGGATCCAAATGGAAACAAGAATTAGAATTAATTATCCGATAGCTTATTCAATGTTTTAAAGGAAAGAAAGGTAGAATCACAAAGTCAGTTTTCAGATAGCAATAGTCTAGGTTTATTAATAATACAGACTTTAGCAAGACCACAATCAGATACAAATTCAGCAAGTCTCAAAAACTGGATCTGCTGAATTCATGTTAAGTCATAAATCTTATGTAAGATTTATTTTTAATATTAGGATAAACAGGGAGATTCATTCCTATGTCCCAGTTGGGAACTATTTTGTGATTCACATACGACATCCCTTCTTGGTAGGGAAAAATGTGTAGACACAAATTCAGCCTATAATACAGGAATCCTGCCAGAAGTAAATAATGTTGAAGAAGGACAACAAAGCAGCTCTTACTTTGTCCTGAATTAGTTACAGTATTTGTTCTTATTTCTGCAAGGGAACAGTACTGAGTCAATGGCTAATTGTCTTATTAATGAACAGTTAACACTTCTAAAAATATGGTTATACTTGTATCACAAATATTTAAAAAAATTCTGCTTCTTTGAAATGTAACAAAGGGTGGAGATGGAAAGGTCTGAAAGCGTAACAACTGAAAAAAATTAAGACCAGTTGTCCTTCACTCATCTGTGACTGAGAAAGATGGAGAGCCATAGTTAAAGTGTGAGTGATAAAAGCATGAGAATAAAAATATTGTTGTAAAATATAATGAAATTTATGCCAAACATTCTTCAGCATTTAACGATTAATATCAACTTTCATCATCAGCCCCAGCCACTTGTGTTTAGCTTAGCTGATTGGTGGTGGTTGCCTCAATTCCATGCTGAAACCTGATCATTACGTAAAGACATACCATTGTCATGGGTAAGCACAATGACATAATTTTCAGCTTCAACCCCAGGCGGGTCCCACTTTAGCAAGGTTTCTGTTGGGGTAATGTTTATGGCAATCAAATTCTTTGGATGATCCATGGCTGCAAAAGAGGCAAAAAGCAAGATGAGGTAGTCATCAGAATTATTAGTAATTAGTAATGATGAAAAAAATAAGACCAAGACAATAGAAAACATAGTAAAGGTTTATGTTTATGTATGCAAAAGTTATAGAGAATAATGTTTTTATTTCTTAAATTTATGTGCCACCCATCTCCCCAGTAGGGTGATTCTGGGTGGCTTATGACAGCAAAACCCTCATGGAAGCTTTGTAAGCCATTCAGAGTCATTGCTTCTCATCCAAGAAGAAGCTTCTTGGATGAGAAGCAAAAGGTCTTCAAAGAAAATACAGAAAGTCCAGTGGCCTCTTGAAAAAGCACCTTTGGGACAACCATGACCTGGATTACTGAGAATCTCCATAGACATGATGGATGAATGGATGTCTCAATAAATAAATGTTTTAGAATAATCATTATCAACAAAGTCCCAACTAAAATGCATTATCAGTGAAGCACTTGATTGTTTCTTTGTCGCAGCCTCCCTTGAAGCTGCTGTACTTCAAGGTTAGATCCTACTGGACTATGAAGTAATAGGTTTAGAATTTCTTTGGATTACCTCCTCAACAATAACACAGCATTCATACATGACCAGAGATATTTTATCACTCCCTCCCCTCTCTCCAAAAAGGAAGATTGAAGAAAATGATGTAAGCGGAAAAGCTGCCTATAAGTTTTCAGCATATACCTGAAACTTTGGAAAAACACTGTTCGGTATATTTAACTGTAACTAGCCATATTATTTATTATGTTTATAGGAACATTTGGAATAGGATAGGCAATTTGTGGACCACGTTTTAGTCTTAGCATTCCTCTACTGTTCCTGAATTATCCTTAATTGTGATAGTATAATTTTCAGGTCAACATTAATATGAAGATATAAATACAAGTGAATGATTCTGAAATTGGCCAACATTTTTCGACCTTAGGCAATTTGAAAGGGTTAGCTGTAGGCTCAAGTCCAAGTGAAGTTATCTCTGATTTAGAATAATACAAGTTGATTCTATTCGGGTAGAATATTTTACATATTGTTTACTGTTGCTCCTTTCTTTATAACCTATTTCTCAGTGGGTAGTAGTGGAGCTTTGTCCCAAAGGAAGAATTCAAAATTTATTTCCCAGATTAACATTTGTCTCTTTATTTTGTCAGGGCCAATGCATCAAATAGCTATTTAGTGGAATATTTGAATTTGACTACTAGTTCAATATGGCCAATATAGTCTGAGGCGTAGACTTCTAAGCAGACCACGGCACGAATTCATTAATATAATTAGATTGAACATTCTTTAGCTTCCCCAAATTTGTTTCCATCGAAAGGCCTGGTTCCTGGCTCAGTCAAACTCAGTGAGATCAGTGGGATACAGGGTCATCCTATAATTAGCTAATAATGCTTGTCTATCATGAGTCATCTTTTCTCCAAATAAACTTGTTACATTTCTATATTTTCAAAGACACATCTCATACCTGTATACATGGTATGTAAAAGTGGTTCACTTTCCTCTCTGCCCCTTATACTTTTTAGGCTGATTTCATATTCAGTTGAAGGCTGCAAGTAGTTGAGAGTATATTCAGTAATACCTTTTGCAATAACTATATTGTCAACCCGTCCTGTAGGGATTGAGAAAATGACCTTGTTATTTTCAGCTAATGCAGGTGTTCCAAAAACAGCCTGACAAATGCGAGGTCGTATCCAGGAAGAATTTACATTCTTAGTTCCATGGAAAAACCTGAAAAACATAGCCCTTATGATGCTTCTTTCTTTTCTGGATGCAAGTACAGATAGCTCTTGGCTTACAACTATTTGTTTAGTAACCATTTTAAGTTACAACAACATTGAAAAAAGTGACTTACAACCAGTCCTTGCAATTACAAGTGTTGCAGCATCCCCCGGGTCACATGAACAAATTTCGGATGCTTGGCAGTGAAATTACAACAGCCACAATTTCCTGAAGTCATGTGATCGCCATTTGTGACCTTTCTAGCTGGCTTCCAACAAGCAGAGTCGGGGGTGGGGATTGGATTTACTTAACAACTGTTTGATTTGCTTAACATCTGCTGTGATTCAATTAAGATCCATGGCAAAAAAAGATCTTAAAATCTTGTGCAATTCACTTAACAATTGCCTTGCTTAGCTATGGAATTTTGGGCCTTAATTGTGGTCATAATTTGAGGACTACTTGTTAAGCATCTAAAATCTGGGGAAGTGGCCATAAGAAATCTTCTAACCCATTGGAAGTATACAAATTGGCAGTCATCTACAGAAAATCTCTGGTATTGTTTCAGTTCAGACTTGGTGGACTTAATTAAAATGTAATCCAGAAATGTGCAGAATAAATTCTTGGCACTGTGCATTGCAATCAAATATGGGCTGTATTTAACACATTATCTGAAGAAGAATGTATCTCATGAGAAAATTCAGAGCTTCTTGAAATACAGTTTGAGAAGCAATCCAACATTACATTTACAATCCCTAATATTTTTGGAGTGATGTTTATCCATGTTGTGCTTTAAGATTTTCTAAGCATGATAATATTTCTTTTCTAACAACCTAGACAAGACCGCATGTTCACTAGGTTCATATATTGTGCAGAACAATATTGTAGTTGCTTGGTTTGGGTTCAAAATACGCTCATTCATCCATTGTGATTTGTAAGCTATGATTTACAGCTTAGTGTATTATGTGAACTAAGCTAAGTGCAGCTTATTCAATAAGCCATGGTTAAGACAATGGTGGCTTATCACACTGTATGAACTCATTTTATACTTGCTTGGGGAAACATATATAAAAACCTGTGAATTAGGCTGAGCTGATAGATAATGAGTGGCTCCAAAGTAACTTGTACATTTCTATGGCTGAAGTTGGATTTGAACCTGCATCTCTCTGATCCTAGTTCAATACTTTAACTACTACACTATATTCTATACAATAAATAGACATATATGCATCTACTCAGCTCCAAATTATCTGTAAACATATAATGCTATTTGTTCCTTATTTTTTAAAATGTGCAGTTGCATTATGTCAACATGCTTCCATGTTTACAGCGGAATGTCAGAAGACAAGGCAGGAAACTGAATTACATCTGCAGTGAATTACTTCTGGGGAATGTGTTCTTCAAGTAACTAGCAGATGACTTTTTGTATAGAAGTATCTTATTCAAGGTGCTTGTCAAATGCAATGAGAGTCTCTTGCCAAAACATTTACCCCTATTTTATTTTGAGTGCCCATCTGTCTTTTAAAATTAAAATCTTTGGAAGTCTGGTGTATCATTTTATGGAACTGCAATAAAATAATCTTTTTAAGCACATTAAGACTGCAGTTCTGAGCAAACATAACTGGGAATAAACTGGATCCAATGAACTGGATCTTAAGTCTGAGCATAAAGGTGCATGAATGGGACAATGTTAGTCTGCTTTCAAAGGAAAAGTGTTCATACAGTCAGTAAGACCCTTAATAATGCTGGCTGAAAGTAGCCCAGCTGCTGAATAGGTTATCCTGCTATATAAATCCATTTATATATATTCTGTTGGGACCCTTGAACTCCATTCACAAACTTTGGGGATGGAGAAGAATTACCTTGGGCAGATTTGCAGGAAATCTTATAGTGGTCAAAAGGTGCAATTGGAGGTGCCCAATGGAGAGCCACAGATTCTGTAGTCACATTGACAATTGTCAAGTTCTTCGGTGGATCAATCCCTAAATGAAACAAGAGGCAACAGTTAAAAATTCCAAAATTCACATTCTAATGGGAATATAGTGAGCAACTTTGGGTAGCAATTATACAGTATATACATAATGCTGTATGCAGAATGCTGTCAAGCCCCCTTCACTATATCATCCCTTCTTTGAAAAGATATACTGGATGGATTGCAACTTCCCAAAAGATACTAGGACTAGTTCCAGGCTAGGACAAAGTAGGCTTTGACCTAGGGGACCCATATTTCAGGGGATGGCAAAATAAAAAAAAAAACCCATAAAAATCAAAAGGCATTAGATGTACTTCTTGAGCCAACACACTCAAGGATGAAAATGTCCAATAAAAGAAATATATATATATATATCCAGGACTGAAAATCATAAATGTAAAGCCCAAAAACTTGAAGAAGAAAAAAGAAACAAGAGGACACATTCCAACAAAGTCGGAAGATGAACCAAACCATATGAGGCACTGGAAAAATGACTTTGCCTAGGGCAGCAAAATGTCCAGTCACCCTATCTGCAAGTACCTGGAAGCTGATATAGAGCGTACAAGAGATGACCTTGATAGAAATATGCAAGAACTGTTATCCAGACAAAAGAGGCTGATTTTTTAAAAAAAAAAACCCGAGAAACCAAATAAAATTCAGAAATACCTCAGGCATAGGCCTCCTTGATTCTCTGGAGTATAAGAAAGGGGAGCATAATCAGACTTGCACAATTCTGAGCCAATCTCAATAAAAGGCAATCTTAGCCTTCCTGTGGAGTTGGTTTCTTGATCTGGTCTATGAACCCTAAAACTCTGAATTGGATCTTGAAGCAAAGTAGCAGAAGCACAACAACTGGAGCAACAGTATCTGTCTTATCTGTACCTCCAGTTAGCAACTGGCCACTGCATTTTGGACCAATGCAGTTCTTCTCCAAAAGCAGCCCATTTGTTCCAGTAGTTTAACTATGATCTTATGAGGATAAGGTTACTATAACCAGGGCTTCTTGGTTCTAAAAAAACCCCAAACCCAAACCACGCATAACTGCCATACCAGCTAAAGATCAGCAGGGCTTCTGAGAACCTCCAACCATGGATGTGCTAATTCAGGGGAGTGTGACTGAGAAGCAAGCAATTTCATTTTCATTTTTGAAAGCTCTCTGTTTTGGACAGAAGTGTGGTGTGTTTGTTGTGTCAGGGTAATTAAGGAGAAATGGAATCAGTTTTGTCATGAGTGTTTCCAGGATTGCTGTGGCTACTTGCCTACTCACAAACAGTATGGTTTCAATCAAGCCATCTCCTGTTTGTAATTACCTGCAAGCCTTCCCCGCCCTAGTTAATTGCAGGTTAACTCCCCATATAAGCAAGGACCTTTTCGCTTGCTACTTGGGCCTAGACTCCTGGTTTAGGCCTAAATGCACAGCTCCTGCAAGAAGCTCAGTGCAACGCCGCAGATGGGAGAAGAATGCAGACAAGGACTCCAGACGCCGTTGCAGAGAAACTCCCACGGATGCTTGCCTTTTGCTGTTTTGTAGCACGCAAGCTATCATCGGGACTGCTGTTGCTGGACCTTCTTCCTCCCACAAGCTTCAAGCAATGTTTGCTTTTTGAACTGTTTTTACTTCAGGTGACTTTTAGCTGTGAAGTTTGTGCTGCCCCCACTTTGATTGCCTTGATGATGTATCGACGCCGAAGCTGCTTACCTTCATGCTAGTTTTATTCTCCTGTGAACTGTTTCGGTATTGTGGAGAGGGATCTAGGGAGATAGCCTTGCTTCACATACCCAGATAAGACTTTGTTTTTAATGTGCTTTCTTAAAGACATAGTGCTTTTTAAATGTTTTAAAGTAAATTATATTTTTACACAAGACGCCTCTGTCAGAATTATTTCAGTCTCAGTGTGTTTGCTCATGAGCTGGTTCACGGTCCGGGGTACCCCTCAACCCCATTTCATAACAAGTTTGCTTCCCAGATGCCCGCCTCTTCTATTTCCACTCATACTTTTAAGGATACAAACAAAAAATGTTAGTAATTTTATCAAACAAAGTTTGGTTCTGTAATGCTATATATTGAAAATGGTTTTCTGTGATACCAGTTATTTCTATAGTCTAGCCAAGTGAAGGCAAAGTGGTATTCATGGCACTAGCAATGGAAATTTGTGAGAAAGCATGAAATAGGGATCTGGTTGTCTTGGTCACTACATAAAGTCCATGTTCTGTCTGCGTCAACTATTTTACTACTCCTTACTCCAATCTGAAGTTATGGCCAGATTATGTTGTAGCTACTTGTTTCCAGCTGGAAACCAAAATACAGCTGATGGTAAGAATGCAGCAAGAGTTCTCAAACATCAGAGAGCTACAGAGACTATTTTCTAAATTAAAATTTGGAAGCTCTCTTCATTCTTACCTCCCAAAGAATAATTTTGGAATCTGCAGAATACAGTAATTTAATTAATTTAAATTTAAATTTAATTTAATTTAATTTAATAAATTAAATTAAATTAAATTAATTAATTTAATTAATTCAATTTATATGCAGTCCCTCTCCAAAGACTCAGGGCGGCTCACAATACATTTTAAAAATCAGTAATATTGCTTTCCCTGAGAGGAGCCCCCAACTCTTGCATTCTGTTCCAGTCACTGCCCCTCATCAGAAAATGATAAATCCTGAACTAGACTTACACCAAGATTGAGCTGGCAAATGTTTTTGTGATATGTATTGGCTGCGGGATCCTGCATGACTTACCAGAATTGTTAATAATATAAATGTATTTCTTGGAACAGACTACTAGCTCTCCAAAAGTTTAGGAATTACAGTACTAAGTTAAATAAATTGAGATAGAACATTGATTTTTGGTTAATCTATACCCTACTTCACAGATCAAAAATTCAGTTTACATCATGTTATAATTTTCATAACAATCTTTATTATGGCCTCACATATCATTCTTAGACTCGAAATAACCTGTATTATTCCTCTATTATACTGAAAGACTCTATGTTTCAAACATGATTTAAAGAGATGGAATATAATGAAAGCAAAGAGCTTTTTAAAACAGTCACATCTCCCCTCCCCCCCACATTTTGGGACATTATTGAAAACAGATGGGGCTATTTAAAGGAGCTGAAATATTAAAGCAAATGTATCCTAATGTGACTTCTTCAAGCAGTTTTGAGGACTGAAGCATACAGTTATTTATGTTTTCAGATATTTCAGAAAACTGGACAGCTTATATTAAGTAGGCAATGTAAGCTAGTCTACCTTGAGCTAAATGTTTTTAATATCCCAAAAGAGTTTAAATTTAAATCAAAGAGCATTCTCTCATTTGAAAGATTGCCTTTAATATGTACTTATATATTTATTAGATTTATAAAGCTGCCCAACTCAAAGAAGGAGACTTGGGCAACATAAACAGAAAAACAAACAATAAATCAGGACCCCCCAAAAATAAAGCTATAAAGCAAACAGAATATAAATATAAAATACAAAATATGAAGTGGCAACCAAGCACAATAATAAAAATATCTAAAAGGAGACTCCACTCAATTGGTCCCAAACAACTGGTAGAAAAGTTAGATCTTAACAGCTTTTCTGAAGGCGACCATAATTTTGGTGGTGATGGTGTATACAGTATGTGTGTGTTTATGTGTGTAGGTAGAGATATACTTACAAGCAGTGGTGGGATTCAATTTTTTTAACGACCGGTTCTGTGGGCATGGCTTAGTTGGGGGTGTGGCTTGGTGGTCATGTGACTGGGTGGGCATGGCTAGCTGGTCATGTGACTGGGTAGGCGTGGCTAACTAGTCATGTGACTGGGTAGATGTGGCTAGCTGATCATGTGAACAGATGGGCGTGGCTATGTGCATAGGGACTACTCAGAGGGCTGAAAAATGTCATTTCTGACTGGTCCTCACACTTTTGACCGGTCCTCACACTTATGACCATCCTCACATTTATGCCCGTTGCGACATTCTTAACAACCGTGTCAGTCATTTCACCACTACTTCTCTTCACCACCGTGACAAGATAGGGCGCAAAATGTAAAATGTGAGGACAGTCGTAAGTTCAAGGACTGGTCAAAAGTGCGAGGACCAGTCAAAAATAACTTCTTCAGCCCTCTGAGTAGTCCATATGCACATAGGGACTACCCAGAGGGCTGAAAAAAGTGATTTCTGACTGGTCCTTGCACTTTTGACTGATTATCATTTATGCCCATTGCAGCATTCTTAATTAAATTAATTAAATAAAAATGACCTGTTGGAGCAGTCTTAGGCAGTCTGAGGCGGGCGTTCGGGCCGGCTGCAGGGCAAGGTGATACAACCGGGGTAGATAGGCTGCTGCTGCCCAGGTGGGAGACGGGCGCAGGCCTACAGGGCTGGCTGCAGGGTGAAGCGATCGGATGTCTGCAACCTTAAATACTCAACCTTAAACACATGTAAACACTTAAACACAACCTTAAACCTGGATGGGCATTGCCAACGCCATATCACTTACTCCCACCCAGGTTTTGTGGCTCCCAGTATTTTCTTTTAAACAGGTATCTCTGGGTGTCTCATATCTCTCATCTTTCTTTTTCCCCTTCATTTTTCTTTCTCCCCCCTTTCTCTCCTTCATTTCTTTCTCTCCATCTCTTTCTCCCTCCCCCTTTCTCCCCTTCATCTCTTTCCCCCTTCTCTCCTTCATTTCTTTCTCCCTCCATTTCTCTCCTTCATTTCTCTTTCTCTCCATCTCTTTCTCCTCTCTCCCCCTTTCTCCCCTTCATCTCTTTCCCCCTTCTCTCCTTCATTTCTCTTTCTCCCCCATTTCTCTCCTTCATTTCTCTTTCTCCCCCATTTCTCTCCTTCATTTCTCTTTCTCTCCATCTCTTTCTCCCTCCCCCTTTCTCCCCTTCATTTCTTTTCCCCCTTCTCTCCTTCATTTCTTTCTCCCTCCATTTCTCTCCTTCATTTCTCTTTCTCTCCATCTCTTTCTCCTCTCCCCCTTTCTCCCCTTCATCTCTTTCCCCCTTCTCTCCTTCATTTCTCTTTCTCCCCCCATTTCTCTCCTTCATTTCTCTTTCTCCCCCATTTCTCTCCTTCATTTCTCTTTCTCTCCATCTCTTTCTCCCTCCCCCTTTCTCCCCTTCATCTCTTTTCCCCTTCTCTCCTTCATTTCTCTTTCTCCCCCCATTTCTCTCCTTCATTTCTCTTTCTCTCCATCTCTTTCTCCCTTCCCCTTTCTCCCCTTCATCTCTTTCCCCCTTCTCTCCTTCATTTCTTTCTCCCCCCATTTCTCTCCTTCATTTCTCTTTCTCTTCATCTCTTTCTCCTCTCCCCCTTTCTCCCCTTCATCTCTTTCCCCCTTCTCTCCTTCATTTCTCTTTCTCCCCCCATTTCTCCCCTTCATTTCTCTTTCTCTCCATCTCTTTCTCCTTTCTTGTTTGGGCAGCGGCGGCAGTGAACCTATGGTGTTTAGTCATTTCAATTAAATTTACAATTTCTATATTTCCTTTTTGCCATATTTATTCCTCATCTATATTTTAAAAAAACCAATATTACCCTTCATCCTCATCTCTAATCTTAATCAAATTCAATTTTTCCCTTCTATTCTATATTATACCCCTTCCCATTGTCATCTATTTTTATATCCATCCTCACATTGATTAATTATGTAATATTACAGTTGTTTAATACAAATTCAACATTTTAATATAAATCAATTAGTTATATAACTATCTTTTTGTATATTAATCAATATGAACATGAATATTCCAATTATTTCCATGCCATCCAATTTCTTACAAATCAATTAATTATATTTACCAATAATAATAAACCAAATAATTTCCCCCATATATTCCTCCATAAACCACAATTTAACCATTTCTGCTTTCAACACAATATACAATTAATAGTATCTCAATTATTACAATTCTCTAGTTAAATAGAGCTTTTTTTCTTTTGTGTTTTAAAATCTTGAACTCTCCTCTTTTGCCCTAAATTTCCCATTGTTTGCACCTACCTTTTTTGGTGAGGAAAAAGAAAAGAAATCTGCCTCTGCCTAATTTTCCAACGTTGCAGCAAACAGCAAAGCCAACAGCCTGCTTTACTTTCAGTTTCATTTTAAGGTTGATTTGCATAAGGAAAAAAAATCTGCTCCAGCAATTTAGCTCTTTGCACAAGCAGCAGAGCCCTGCGCAAAACAGCTAAGAGCAAATCAGCTGAGAGTTGGGAGGCCAATCTAATCAATGAGCTAATTAGCCTAGCTGAAGCTGATAGGAGTTGTTTTTTCTTGCTGTTTGCTTGCAAGGAGGTAACTGCACAGGCCAAAGGGTGGGGGCCACCCTCCTTGCCACTTAGTGCCCCCCTGCCACCCCCTTTTGCCTTTAGCTCCCCCCTGCCACCCCCCTTGCCTCTTACCGCCCCCCTAAGACATCCTACTGCCCCCCAGGGGGCGGTACCGCCCACTTTGGGAACCACTGGTCTATTCATTTGTTTTCTTTTAATACTGATCAGCTGTAGGGTGGCCCTTTGAAGCCCTGCGACAAGAGTTTAAACAGTTTTTTCCCCTCTAGCTGATCAGCTGGCTCCGCGGGCCAATAAAATTACAAAAAAACACTGAACCGTTTTTAAATTGCTGGCTTGCCCACCCATCACCCACCACTATTTATTGGCAATTAATAGTGGTGCAGAGGGGTGGGGTGAGCCAGCAATTTAACAAACGGTTCGGCCAAACCGCCTAGAACCGGCAGAATCCCACCACTGCTTACAAGGGCAACTACTCAAAAGGCATTCTTCCTAAAGGATCTTGTAATCAACTCTCTTGTAGAAGAGATTAAAAAACAGGCATCACACCAGAATAGAGAACACTCTGCTCTTTTACCTGTTGTGACTGAACCAACTATTGGCTCAGAGCTGACAAGGCCATGTACAGCCACCAGGGAAATGATATACTCGGTGGACGGTTGTAGACCTGACAAAGCAGCATGTCTCTTTGTAGGGTCCAGCATCACTTCCTTGGTTTCCTTCTTATCTTTGGGGCTGTAGGTCAGTATCAGCCTATCTGCTGGAGGTGAGGGGTCATTCCAAGTGATGTTCACGCTGGAGGAAGTTACATGAGAAAAGTGAAGTTGTGTGATCGGTCGGAATCCTAAAAATAAGAGCAGAGAACAGACCTGTAAATGTGAAAATGGCAGGCTGGAGTTTATTCAGCCCTAGGATGTGAAATGTAATGATAAATTTAGATGTGCTCATCAAATAATCAGAGGTAGTTTTCATTAACATAGAAATAAGGTAGGGCTAAAACCTCAAGGCTATAAGCATACCATAAAACCTTGAGTGTGCGTATGTGAAATTTTGTCTAATTTATCTTTATACATTAATGATAATATCAACCCAGTTTAATTAATTAACTTAAAATAGGATCAAATGTGCCTCTCAGCTAAGAAAGGTTACTGTTATTGTTAAGAGTTTGGGAATTTATCTTTGGAATGGATCTCATGAGCACTCTTGAATTTTAGTTCTCTGTTTTGAGAAATGAAAAACTGTTCTGAAATAAGTTATTCTATATAAAGGGATTCATCAAGGTGGGCTGCAACTCATGAGGAACAGGGAGGTGGGAAAAATAAGGTGTGTGTGTGTGTGTATACATGCACATGGCCATTCAGTTGCCCAGGGCATGAGAGAAATCTTCTAAATACTAGAGGGCTTTGTCTAAGACAAATCACCTACACCAACCAAATGTGACATGGAATGCTTAGACAGTCATAAAATAGCAATGGAAGACCTTTGAGATTTCTCTCAGTACCTGATTAATGTAATCTGATAGTTCTTTAGTACCTGTGAAGGCATCCACAGTGTTTTCCAAGCTTTGCTGTCGGCCCCTTTCAGCAATGACCGAGATAGTGTATTCAGTCCCAGGTTCTAAGTCTGTGAGTGTAAGCTCAGATTTATCTTTAGAGACAGTAACTTCTGATGCCATTCCTGAAGCTTGCATGAAGATGACCCGATAATGATCAATGGGACCCTTGACTTTGGTCCAGGACATAGAGATGGATGTTTCTGTGGAAGCTGTCACAATCAGGTCATGAGGGCTGTCCAACTCTATGGCAGCAGCAGGATATGTAAAAAGACAGAAAGTAACAAAGGCGTGAAATGCATTCACCTTCAGGATAAGAACTAACTTACATTTTGAGTTTTATGCTGAATTTGATTGTGTTTTCATGTCCGTAACATTTATCTAAATGTTAATTTAAACCACTCTGAGCTATTTGAAGAACACAGCTGGAATGTGAAATGATAAATGGTCAGATACACAGACTCTAGGACAACAGATTACATGAAAAGGTCTGTCATGAAGACATTTCATAAGAACATTTCCACTGAAAATCTATTTAAATTTGAATTTGTCTTGAGAAGTTGGATAGGTATGTCAGTGTATAAATTTTGTATACAGAAAACACAGTTGAGACCCTCAATAATAGCCATTAGCTGTCATTCAATACTTCTGGCTTAAAAAGATCAACAGCTACACCTCTTTCCTACTCCCAAAGTTGGTCCTCAGCAATTTGTGACCACAACCAGTGACATTTTCCCCTCACAGCTATAAATAATAAAATATTAAATTACTATCAGCCAGCTATCCTTCAATAGTCTCTGAGATCTGTTTAAAAGGGTGAGTTTGCACAACATACTAGAAGAAAACCACATACACACAGCAACTTAAAAGTGCTTTTCTTCCATCTTTGAGAAGAAAAAGATCCCACATCTGATGGTGAGCAAGTTGCTCTTCTTACAGAATGCAATGTTGGACACTTCCAGGTCAGTGATAGCTTCCTGGCTCACTTTTCCCTCCCATCTAGCATTATCTCCTGGTAGCTAAACAAATCACTTAACAATTCTCCTGAACATACGATGTGGCTGGGATAAATGTATTCTTTTCCTACCTATCTGATGGGTAGGGATAATTGCCAGTGGCTCCTCTAGTGCTTTGTTACAAATGCCCATTTCCCCTTTGTTCTGCTTTATCCTGCAACATTTCTCACCTTCATAATCACTTCCCTTCATGGGAATGGGACAGTTTGTCTTTTTATTCAAGGGGATTGGAGGGCAACCCCAATCCCCCACCACAAATATCCCATACTGTAGTGAAAAAGGGAGATGAAAGATGGAAACATTCTGGAAGGAGCCCTGCCAGTCTATGAAGAAGGGAAGGAGCTGGTACAGTTTGGCTCTTGTGCCACAGTCCTACTTCCCTTCTACATATGCCTTCCTTGTTGAAAGCTTTTCGTGGTAGTAGTTTGGCTGCCAGTTTACCAGCTCTGTTGTAGGACATGTTCATGCACTTCCCAAGATTGGAGGCTGAGGTGGCTTTGCACTCGAAAGATGAGCTGCTCTTCCTGCAGCATCATCCTAGCCCCCCTCTCTTCCCCAGAGCCTCTCATAAATAGGCACTGCAAATAGGCACTCCAGAGCCAGCAGAAATCTGACTGCCTGCATGGAACACCAGTTTGTCTCCCCATCAAAATGGTACCTATTTATCTACTCATGTAGAACATGCTTTTGAACTATTAGGTAGACAGAACCTGATGTGAGTGACTGGGGCTCACCGTGCCACACAGTGCTAGAACTCAAACCGCTGGCACAGAGACCATCTCCAGCATCATTAAGACATTGAGCCACCATCCTCCATAAAACCAATGATAGAAAGACATGTATCCCTTCAAGTCAGTCTTGACTCTTGGACAAATAAGTGCAATTTCTTTGACAACATTTTTGGAAATGGTTTGCCCCTGCTTCTTCCTAGGGTAGAGAGGCACCCAAAGTCATCCATCTGGCTTCATGTTTAAAGCAGGACTAGAACACACAGTTTCCCAGTTTCTAGCCCAGTGTCTCATCATTGCCCCAACCTGGCTCTTAGGAAAAATATATTAATTTAAAACACAATAAATATGCATGTGACAGGGAGGCACTTTTGGGCCAAAAGACATTGACAGGGTGTGAATATTAAATCTAAATAAGAAAGGGCAATACTAATATTTCACTTGATGCCAAAATGCAAGTAATACCATTGGCATCTCAGCCTCTGGGAAGGAGCATTTGCAAAATTAGAAGAACTTCCTTTGAATTCTAGCTGAAAACGATTTGCTCAATGCAAGCTTGAGGTTCAGATGGTGTGACCTGAGTTTTTCTGCCTCATTGGTCAATCAATCAATTTCCCTTCTCCCTAATCTGAAACTGCAATTCTTAAAAGCACAGGTCCCTAAAATACAGATTGGCAACTGTAATGATACAAGCATGCAAAGCAATCAGCCAAACCTAATATGGAAAAGAAGTAGAGTTGAGTAACATTGATAGAGCAGTTTGATCTAAAAATCAATATTTTGAGATTCTAAGGCAGACTTTGATATTTGCCACACTAATCACTATATAAATATCAAATAAAGGCAAAAGCTGTTTGCATTGAATTTCCAGCTGTAAATACTTTCCCCATGTGTAAAATGTCAGCTTGCTTTTGGGTGTATAAAAATAGAACATCTTTAACTCTATTCTTCTGAGTATACAGAGAAATGGAGGCTAAATCAGAGTTCTTCCCACATCTGTAGCATTTTGTTATGTACATCTGCTATTAATTCAAAGAGATAGAGTTTTTAAAAGCACCCTCATAAATATGAATGTCAGAAGGTTTGCAGTATTCCTCTTTAAACCCTTCAACTTTGTGTTCCCATTTGTATTAATTCTTATATATTTTATTTTTGCTTATTTTTATTTATGACAAGAATCTGGGAGAATGCATGTTGCTGTTTTAGCACATTCAAAAGTACACATGACTCAACATGGGAGATAGAAAGTTGCAAACATTTGGTTCTGTGTTAAAGGTAATATTTCCTTTGCTGAATTGATTATGTGTAATCAGCCATGCTATTTTATTGGAGCTAAATGGATATTGTTTGATGCTGCCTTTTTTCTAGCATATTTTCTCCCAGTTGTCTGATCTATAGTCCTGCTTAGGTTGAGTAAGTATCGTGAATCTTCTACTTTTAAAAGAAAAAGCTCATGAAATCCACAGCGTATAGATGGTTATCTGAAAACAGTTTTACCTGAAAGCTTCTGAGCTTTATTAAAATTCAGTGAAGATGTAGCAAATTCTAAAAAACATGGTTATAATTTCCCCCCCAGAAACAGAAGGGCGGGGGAAGGGAGGGGGTAGAGGGAGACTTTCCACATATTTCTTTGTTTTGCACATTCTGGATCTGTACATATATGCTCTAAAATATTGATTTATTAAATTCTCACTGTTATCTGCTAAACATAGAAATTGTTATAGGATTATTGTAAGCAAATGTGTAACAATCAAGTATTACCAGTTCTATGATAGAGACTGACCCTTTTTTGGGTGCCTCATTTGTATAGCTAAGTATACTCCTTGTTATGCAAATAGGTTTGTTTGGCGGGAAGTTCGAATTAACTGACCTTCAGCTGATTGGCTGACCACTACAGCTGCAAGGTATATAAAGGGAGCTGGCTCCCTGGGTTAGTTGCTGGATTCTCACTATACAATAAAGAGCTGTTGTCACTCACTACTCTGGCTTGCTGCGTCCTCATTCACCCAACTTAACATTGGCGACGAGGGTGGGATTTTGAGGCCAGAAGCAGAGGAGAGCTGAAGCCACACTCGAGAGAAAAGAGCTGAAACCACGTTCAGAGAGGGGACCGGAGACCGCATCCTGAATCCAGCCAGGCAAGCGAGCGGAGCACAGGAGAATCCCGAACGATGTCTGCCTACACCCCGCAGGCGCCTTTCGACCCCAAGGAGGAGAAGTGGGGATCCTACATGTCCCGGTTCGAGTGCTTCATGGTGGCAAATGACATGCAAGGGCTACCGGACATTCGAAAGAAAGCCCTGTTCCTGAGCCACTGCGGGCCACGGGTCTTCGACACAGCCGAAGCATTGTCAGAGCCGAATTCGGTCCACAACATTTCCTGGTCGACGCTACAGACCCTGCTGAAGGACCACTATGCACCAACGCCATCGAAATACGTCCAGCGGTATGACTTCCGGCAACGGCTCCAGCAGGAGGGCGAATCGATCAGCGAGTATGTCGCTGCCCTGCGTAAGGCCGCAACCCAGTGTGAGTACCGAGACCTGGATGAAATGCTCCTAGAGCAACTAATTTGCGGAGTGAGAGACAGCCGGCTCCAGAGAAGACTACTCACAAGGTCAAACCTGACCCTACACATCACCCTGGACGAGGCCAGAGCGCAGGAATCGTCAGTAAAGGCTGCAGAGAAACTAAAGAGCTCCAACCTAACCAGAACAACGCAGAAGACGGCGCCTGTGCACCGAGAGGCCGTAAGCACTGCGAGCGAGGGGGAGTCTGAAGAGGAGGTCTACTGCACCGAGCAGTCCCGCACAGCCCGGAGGAAGCCCAGAAACGGATGCGCCAGCTGCGGAGGGTCCCACTCACGACAAAACTGTAAGTTCAGGGATGCCATTTGCCGTTCCTGCGAGAAAAGGGGCCACATCGCTCGGGTCTGCAGATCCAAAACACACCAGAGCTACAAACCACGTGGCCAAGCCTTCCAATCCGAGCCAGCGCCACACCGGAGGCCCAACAAAGATGGCGGCAGCCGGAAGGGCGCAAAATTCAAAGACGCTGGGGCCTACACCATACGCATCGAGCAGACCTGCACCTCGCCCGGAGAGAAGACCTACACCACGGTCGAAATCGAGGGATGGGAGTGCCAGATGGAGATCGACACGGGATCACCAATATCCATCATGTCATGGGACAACCTGAAGAAAGCCATCCCCAACTCACACAAGCGACAGCTCCAGCCACAGCGACGCAGGCTGAAAGACTACCAAGGGAACCGCATCCCCATCGAAGGAAGAGGCGAGTTCCAAGTACAGTACGGGGAGTTTTCCGAGAAACTACCCCTCACCATCGTCAGCGACAACCTCCCAAGCCTCCTGGGCATGGACTGGTTTAGAGCCCTAGGCATGGGATTCACCGGAGTAAGGAACGTTCGAAGCACCCTGAAAGACGACCTGATGCAGGAGTTCCAGGACGTGTTCGACGAACGGCTTGGCAAGTATGTGG